TTTAGCTTTCACACATGGTGCACACGGCACTTCCCCTTTTGTCCAAACTCCTCTTTCTGCACCGCATTGCTTTTTGTCTTATTTTAGACACAACTCTCTCACACAGTGGAGCTGTCCATGCGGGCTAGGCTCCATGACATCATCAGCCACTGTCTCTATCAAGTGTATAGTACACATGTACAAACAACCCTGTAGTAGTATATATACCCAATAGATCCAGGAGACTCCTCAGCAAGTCCTCCTGTTGTATACCAACAAACTCACTGCAGCCTAAGGGGTAACCACTCCCTCATCACTACCTTTATAGTGTGTTCCTGTGTGCGCCAGAGTAACTCTTGGTTGTTACAATTAGGTAACACTTGCTGGGCAAAATCTTGCAGTCAACAACAAAGCCATCTTGAAATACGCAGGAGGCTGGATGAGACCTGGAAATTTCCAAGATAAAAGATATCTATCAGGACCTATGTTGATGAAGCAGGAGTTTTCAAGCTGGTCTTCCGTATCTGCAAGGAGGGCAGGGAAATAAAGAAAATAGTCTGGCAAGGCTTCTAGTAGCCAAAGACTCTGTAAAACTAGTCTGTGTGCTACTCTTTTACAGCTCACCTATCATTAATACAAGACTTTCAATTCTTTGTGCTGAGGCCTGAGATGAGTGATCAGTGAGTCAATTTTCCCCAGAAACTTGGCAAGTATGAAGCTGATCTCTTACAGATGTGGTTGGACACCAGTGGATTGGTACAAGGAAGCAGATAGTTTATGTAAATGTGGGCAGCAGGATGAGCACTCAGATCTAAGAAGCAAGGAACAGAAGTACGGAGGCAAGGGGCGATTGCCTCAAGATTTCCTGGGAGGGTCCCAGAATAGTCCGGTCCAAAGTAAGGACCTTTGGCAGGAACCCCCGCTTCAGTAGTAATAGAGAAGGCACCATGAGCGGCACATTCAGCTTGAACTCGGCATTTTGTGGCTAGTCACACCAAGAAAAGCACATAAAGATTTCAGCTGAAACAGCTACTGTAGAGAACAAATGCTATGTACACAATCTGTACTATTGTATCACAACTACGACAATTTATGTAGCACATTGGACCTATATGACTCTGAACATCCTATTTCTTTTTGCCCATGTTTTGGTTTAGGTGTGTCTGCAATTTGCAGCGGTGTTTTAATTGGAGTGGCTGACAGTTTCACTACCTCAGTGGCTCAGTATCTGTTTGGGATGTAAGAAAAATTTGAAACTAGCATTGTTCATCATCTGAGAGCTTCACTATCAACTCTACCGATGTCATGCACCAAAATTGATTGGTAGCATGGACAGGTGTCAATAACAAAGCGAATATTCGAAAAGACTCGCCTTTGCGCCACACAGGCACAGTGCCACGTGGAATAGTAATTAATATTGCCTGTTTCGAACTTGTGGCTGATCAGCACCACCTCTATTAGGCAATCCAGTCACGCTCACCTTTGCTTTTCCATCCGGTACTTTCCGTGTTTTGGCATTTCGGCAAATTTTCGCGTCGCCACTGGCTACACATTGCATTGCGCCCTCGCTTTTGTCGTTTCCCTTACTCCCCTTCCTTTGCCTAGCCTCACCATGGGCCCCTTCCTCTCCTTTTTATTCTCACCTGACGGTCGTTTCTGGATCCCCATTCTAATCCACTTGTTCGTCACCTCCACCCTCCTCCTCCTCATTTTATTTGCACCCCCACCATTTCTGATGTCACCACTTCCTATCCGCTTCCGTCGCCGATCCGTTGACTACCACGTGCCACTGCTGATATCAGCAAAGCCCTGGCGGCCGGTCCAAATAGGGCAACAGGTCCATCTTCATGACGTCGATCTGCCATCACATACTATCAAAACATCGGTCACTCGTCTTGCCTGGTTGGAGCGTGGGTGGGTAGTTTTTGAGCTGGAGAAGGTTCATCCCCTTGCGTCGCCCATGTTCATTGCTGTCCCATTCACTTGGGTACACTTATCTTTTGTCCATCGTCTTCGCTACAGCTACACCTACCACACACTGCCTGGGACTCACTTGTTCCAAATTGGAACTACTCCTCTCCCTCCCTCGTTTGATCAGGTGGTCCAACACAACCAGTCCATTGGTAAGGCCATGGAACTGTCGGATTTGGACTAGGTGGTGGACCGGTGGCTCCAGTTTCTTTTTTTTCAGCAGAACATTCATTTACAGTGCAATTATTTTTGATTTTTGAATCATTTTTATGGACACATATTTTTTTAGAATGCCTGACTGACAATAAAGGAACTGTGTTGATACTGATAGTGTTTTTCCTTGCCCTTTTTTTACTGCATCTTCCCATGACATCATGATTTTCTTGCTCTCTTTTTGCTATTGGACTTTACTTTATGGCTGTACAAACCTGTGACATTACTCACAGCATTCATTGTTCTATCCCTTTCTTTCCCTTATTTTGATGATCTTATCCTGTAGCAACTATGCAGGATTTGTCAGCGTACATTCCTTCCTTCATATTCTTTCTCATTCTTTTTGCGCAGCTATACTGTGCATAGCCTACCTTTCTTTTCACTATATAAACCCCTGTATTTTACCTTGTAAAAACAACAAAGATATCCAATCCAGACTTCTTCTCTACTCTCAAGTTCACTACTCTGCTACTTGTGATCCAGTGTGGTCACAACACTTCCCACTTCTACCACTGTTAACTGCTGTCATTGTCACTTCCCACTTTTGAAGTCATTGTTATCCCTTTCGATTAGAGTCCTTCTGAGCACTACAGTTTGTGCATCAGGAGCCTGCTATCACTGGGAACCTCGTCACCTCGTCATCCTTGTCGTTCTCAAACCTACCTTGTGCTACAATTAGCAAGGTAGTGCTTGTCTATACTCGCCACAACGCCCCCTATCTTTCTATATTCCAACTATCCCTCCTCCTCAAAACCCACACCCATACATCTCTGGGTTTTACTTTGAAGGATCTTTATATGTACCACCCCACGAACAACCAGACCACTCCACTGTTCTAGGAGGCAAAGCCCATAAACAAGTTCCATGGAATCTGGGAGGATTGTGTGTTAGTTTATTTTGTGTGTGGTTTTCTAACAGCAGTTCTCATCATCGACATCGGTTATGGAGGAAGGTGCTGGGGATGGTGGAGTGGGCATGGGTAGAACAAGATCTGGCAATGATGGGCAAGATACTGGTGGAGGCAGCGGTGGCAAGTGTGGGGGGTGGCGCCCTGGAAATGTGTGTCCCGTTATGGCTGGTAGGGACAACAAATCTGAGGGAGGGGAGGTGAGATACCCTTGTTGGGCGAGGATATTCCTTGCGTTGTTGCATACTGTCTGGCCTCCTAAACATAGGAAGACTTTGACCGCTTCTCTCTCTCCATTCTCGCAGTTTTTGTTACGCTTGAAATGTGCAAGCCTGGTAACACTGGGTTTCAGATATACAAGTAGTTTCTGATAAGCTCGTTGAGAACGAGTTTGAGACATATTCTGATGATGAGGGTTTTGACTGATGAATACCAAGTTACACTGTTGAAGTGTACAATCATATTGGAGATAGTAACTACAATACAGGCCTATATATATAGTGTCTACTTTAGGGTAGGTGTTTGTGTTGAGCAAACAAAGACGGGTGGTACTGTAACAGGCAATGTATGTGGGAAGTATAGGTAGGTAGCGGAGTGTAGCTACTTGTAAGAGAAATAAAAGTTCATGGTGAATACAGTTTGTAACAGTTCTTCCTCAAGCGTTGTTCCAGGGATTCTATCTGCAAGTGTTCCATGAGCAAAGTTGCTCCAATACTCAATACGGAATTGTTGTCCCGCGTAAGCTCTTCTACTAATAAAGCTAGTGAGACGGTGACTGCATGTAGTTCGTCGGCAACAAGGAGTGATTGTTGCCAGCAATGGAATGTATCCAAAGGGTAGGTGGTGTTAGGGCAGGTGGTGTTAGACTGATAGAATAGATAAAAGTAAGCGCGCCTATCTGACATCAATTCAGTGGCGTCTACAATGTTGGTTTGTTCACGAGTGTGTGGTGAGTTGTTGCAGAAGATC